AGCTGGTTTGATGGTGCTGTATTCTCTTAGCTTTTGCTTGTCTGTTAAGGTTTTAATTTCTTCATCGAATCTGAATTAGATTTGTGCTGGGTAGAGTAATCTTTGTTGTAGTTTTTTCCCTTTCATCACTTTAAATATGTCCTGCCACTCCCTTCTGGCTTGCAGAGTTTTTGCTGAAAGGTCAGCTGTTAACCTTATGGGGATTCCCTTGCATGTTATTTGTTGCTTTTCCCTTGCTGCTTTTAATATTTTTTCTTTGTATTTAATTTTTGATAGTTTGATTAATATGTGTCTTGGCTTGTTTCTCCTTGGATTTATCCTGTATGGGACTGTCTGTGCTTCCTGTACTTGACTGACTATTTCCTTTCCTACATTAGGGAAGTTTTCAACTGTAATCTCTTGAAAATTTTCTCATTCCCATATTTTTTTTCTCTTCTTCTTCTGGGACCCCTATAATTCAAATGTTGGTGCATTTAGTATTGTCCCAGAGGTCTCTGAGACTGTCCTCAATTCTTTTCATTCTTTTCTCTTTATTCTGCTCTGTGGTAGTTATTTTCATTATTTTATCTTCCAAGTCACTTATCCCTTCTTCTGCCTCAATTATTCTGCTATTGATTCCTTCTAGAGAATTTTTAATTTCAATTATTGTGCTATTCATCATTGTTTGTTTGCTCTTTAGTTCTTCTAGGTCCTTGTTAAACGTTTCTTGTATTTTCTCCATTCTATTTCCAAGATTTTTGTTCATCTTTACAATCATTACTCTGAATTCTTTTTCAGGTAGACTGCCTATTTCCTCTTCATTTGTTTGGTCTGGCTGGTTTTAACCTTGCTCCTTCATCTGCTGCGTATTTCTCTGTCTTCTCATTTTGCTTAACTTACTGCATTTGGAGTCTCCTTTTCACAGGCTGCATCTTCGTAGTTCCCATTGTTTTTGCTGTCTGCCCCCCATTGGTAAGGTTGGTTCAGTGGGTTGTGTGAGCTTCCTGGTGGAGATGACTGGTGCCTATGTTCTGGTGGATGAGGCTGGATCTTTTCTTTCTGTGGGGCAGGACCGTGTTTGGTCGTGTGTTTTGGGGTGTCTGTGAACTTAGTATGATTTTAGGGAGCCTCTCTGCTAATGGGTGGGGTTGTGTTCCTGTCTTGCTAGTTGTTTGGCATGGGTGTCCAGCACTGCAGCTTGCTGGTTGTTGAGTTGAGCTGGGTGTTAGCATTGAGATGGAGATCTCTGGGAGAGCTTTCTCCATTTGACATTACATGGGGCCAGGAGATCTCTGGTGGACCAATGTCCTGAACTCGGCTCTCCCACCTAAGAGGCTCAGGTCTTGCACCTGGCTGGAGCACCAAGACCCTGTCAGCCACACTGTTCAGAAGAAAAGAGAGACAGAAAAGAAAGAAAAGAAAAAAATAAAATGAAATAAACTTATTAAAATATAAAAATTAAAAAGTAATAAAAAAAGGAAAGAAAGAAGAGAGCAACCAAACCAATAAACAAATCTATTAATAACAAGCACTAAAAACTATGCAAAAAAAAAAAATTGTCAGACAGAATCCTGGATAAATGGTAAAAGCAAAGCTGTATAGACAAAATCACACAAAGAAGCGTACACATACACACTCACAAAAAGAGAAATAGGAAAAAATATATATATATACAAAAAGAAAAAAAGGGAAAGAGCAACCAAATCAATAAACAAATCTACCAGTGATAATAAGCTCTAAATACTAAACCAAGATAAACATAAAACCAGAAACAAATTATATGCAAAAAGCTAATCTCAAGTCTACAGTTGCTCCCAAAATCCACTGCCTAAATTTTGGTGTGATCATTGTCTATTCAAGCATTCCACAGATGCAGGGTACATCAAGTTGATTGTGGAGATTTAATCTGCTGCTCCTGAGGCTGCTGGGAGAGATTTCCCTTTCTCTTCTTTGTTCACACAGCTCCCAGGGTTCAGCTTTGGATTTGGCCCCGCCTCTGCATGTAGGTCGCCTGAGGGCATCAGTTCCCCACCCAGGCAGGAGGGGGTTAAAGGAGCAGTTGATAAGGGGGCTCTGGCTCACTCAGGCTGGGGGGGGGGCGGGACGGGTATGGAATGTGGGGTGAGCCTAAGGTGGCAGAGGCCTGCATGATGTTACCCCAGCCTGAGGTATGCCATGTGTTCTCTGTTCTCCCAGGCAAGTTGTCTCTGGATCGCGGGACCCTGGCAGTGGCATGCTGCACAGGCTCCCGGGAGGGGAGGTGTGGATAGTGACCTGTGCTTGCACACAGGCTCCTTGGTGGCTGCACCAGCAGCCCGAGCATCTCATGCCCGTCTCTGGTGTCTGAACTGATAACCGCAGTTCATGCCCCTCTCTGGAGCTTGTTTAGGCGGTGCTCTGAATTCCCTCTCCTCGTGCACCCCGAAACAATGGTCTCTTGCCTCTTAGGCAGTTCCAGACTTTTTTCCCCGGCTAGCTGTGGTGCACTAGCCCCCTTCAGGCTGTGTTCATGCAGCCAACCCCAGTCCTCTCCCAGGGATCTGACCTCCGAAGCCCATGCCTCAGCTCCCAGCCCTCACCTGCCCCAGCGGGTGAGCAGATAAGCCTCTCGGGCTGTCACCAGCACTCATGTGCTGGTCAGCACTGATCCTGTGTGCAGGAATCTCTCTGCTTTGCCCTCTGCACTCCTGTTGCTGCGCTCTCCTCTGTGGCTCTGAAGCTTCCCCCCACCAACCCCTGTCTCTGCCAGTGAAGGGACTGCCTAGTGTGTGGAAACATTTCCTCCTTCACAGCTCCCTCTCCGAGGTGCAGGTCCCATCCCTATTCTTTTGTCTCTGTTTTTTCTTTTTTCTTTTGCCCTACCCAGGTACATGAGGAGTTTCTTGCCTTTTGGGAAGTCTGAGATCTTCTTTCAGCATTCAGTAGGTGTTCTGTAGGAGTCGTTCCATATGTAGAAGTATTTCTGATGTATTTGTGGGGAGGAAGGTGATCTCCATGTCTTACTCCTCGGCCATCTTGAAGGTCCCCCACCAATTTATTTATTATCTGACTCCCTCCACTAGAATGTAAGCTGCTATATCCCAGGGATCTGTGCAGTGCCACTGCCTTTTCTACCTTTTCTGACTCTCCATCCTCAGGCCCTGCCTGACAACTGTGTTTCTGCCTCCCTCACCCACCATGTGGTCTCAATCCATGCCTTAGTTCCAGCTCTTGTCTTTCTTCATTAACCCGCTGTTAACTTGCTGTTTTTGGTAACTGTCGAGGATATCTCCTCTTCATGTGGAGGTCCTTCTAGCTTGGTCTGGAGAAATTTCAGTCAGGAGAGGCCAAATGAAATAAGCAAATGCAGCCTTAACCTGTAGTGACCTATAAGCTTGTGCTAACAAAAAAAAAAATTAATTCATATATCGTATCAATATATTTATTATGTGCCTTATTCATCAAGGGCCATCCAAATACACATTATGAATATTTTTCAATGATAGTGTTCCAAATGTTTCACGTTGATTTTTATACTAAACTCTTATATAACTATATATATTCAAGTCTTATCACAAAAGAACACAAAATTTATTTTTTAAAAAACTTCGGTTTTGTAGTATTCTATGGCTTTTCCTTGATTTTATTACCCTATTTTGCTTGTTTACTACAAATTGCAGCAGTTTGAGACCATGGCTTTGAAATTCACTACAGGATTGCGCAGAAGTAGAAGTCTATAAATCACATGACTTCACTTGTCTTGAGAACATACAGCTGTAAGATTTGTCTAAAGCAAGAATCATTAGAGCTTTAAATGTCTAGTAACAATTAAGTCTTTATTGAGCCACCTGTGATTTAAACTTACTTCTTTAACAGTGTCCGTAGTCCATAAAGTGTGCTAACTCCTTGCCTGTAGGGAAATTACTTTCAATGTGTCTTCTGTTCCCTTTCACTGAATACCGTGATTCTGTCACAGAGTTACCTTGGTGTCACCTTGGTGAGCAGCCAACCTCATGATTTCAAAGGCCTATTTAGTTTTAATGTTTCAGCTGCTAAGTAGAAATGTTTATCTTTATTCCATAGAATCTAATTATATTCCCAGCTATATAATGCTGCCCTTCTTAGTTGAAAACCGTTCTGCTGAACCATCAGCAGCCGGGTGAGTTGAGTTGCTTTTCTTGCAGAGATGATGGATTTGTACTGATCTTCTCATATCCTTTTATATAATTCCTATTTTGAAAATGGTACATATTTTCAATACTGGCTAACTAAGACAAGGAAGATCATTTGTGGCTGGGGAACAAAGCAAGGCTAACTTTGGAATTCATTATTTTAGGTGTTTTAGTGACCAAATTATCTGAGAGGAGAAGGGAGGGGCCAAGTGTAGAAAGAGTCCTTTTTACCAGTGGCTGGAAATTTGTCTGAGGGTGAAAAAGCATTTACTGAAAATGTAGAGAATCTCATTTTGGGGGAAAAAACATAATATGACCACATTTTTAGAAGTACATGTATTAGATGTTTAGAATTGATATTGTAAGTCATAATGTTAAATAGTAACTTAATTACTGAAAGTTAATTAAAACTATAGAAATTGGGGCTTCCCTGGTGACGCAGTGGTTGAGAGTCTGCCTGCCCATGCAGGGGACACGGGTTTGTGCCCCGGTCCAGGAAGATCCTACCTGCCGCGGAGCGGCTGGGCCTGTGAGCCATGGCCGCTGAGCCTGCGCGTCCGGAGCCTGTGCTCCGCAACGCGAGAGGCCACAACAGTGAGAGGCCCGCGTACCGCAAAAAAAAAACTATAGAAAGTGATACTTATTATTTTACTTTTCATTGTTTATGAAACTTTAAAAAATAAATATATCTTCATGTTAATTCATTTGAAGCTTAAATTTCATTTCATTTGTTCCCTGTATTGAAAATAATAATTTCTATTTCTATTTTCTAGGCATACAATCAAAAAATACAATTGAGACTCATATTGAGGAAATATAGAAATGACTTTTTATATGACTGTAAACCTTTCATTTCTTACTTCTCTATAGATGCCAATTAAATGGATGGCTTTGGAGTGTATACACTATAGAAAATTCACCCATCAGAGTGACGTTTGGAGCTATGGTAAATAATTCTTCCTTGTGACATAAGGCTTTTAAAACAAAAATAAACATATTATGTTTCTTGGGTCTCTAAAATGTAATACATTAACGTCTTGGTTGAGTTGCCTACCATAACCTTTTATTTTGGTAGCAACATGTCTGATCATTTTGACAAAAAACAAAAAAAACCCCAGCAGTTTTAGATTAGGGACATTTTCATAGAATCTCATGGCCTTCATTTCAACAACTCTTTTAAAACATAACTCTAGGGCTTCCCTGGTGGCGCAGTGGTTGAGAGTCCACCTGCCGATGCAGGGGACACTGGTTCAATCCCTGGTCTGGGAAGATCCCACATGCTGTGGAGCTGCTAGGCCCGTGAGCCTTGGCCCTTGAGCCTGCGTGTCTGGAGCCTGTGCTCCACAACGGGAGAGGCCACAACATTGAGAGGCCTGCATACCGCAAAACAAACAAACAAAAAAAAAAACATAACTCTAAATGCAATGAATGTTTAAAAAATTTTTTTTCTTATGGGAATCTATGTTCAATAGTAAAAAAAAATAGAGATTATTGTTAGAACAAAGAACAGTTATTGAAATCAGTAGGATGAGAGTAGTAAATGTGAGGGGAGAGGTAAGAGAGATGATTTCTAATTACAGCTTTAATTTTAATTTACAAACTACTTTTGGAGTAAACAGATATATTAGAGAATTATAATATGAACTGGAAATAGAGATTTGAAAATTTAGAAAATTTATTTAATTGCATTTAACTCAGTTTTTGAGATGAGCTTCTTAGCCTCTGTCTGGCTATTTACAACTTATGTCCATCTAAGTATTAGTAAGAATAAATCAACACCTTTTCTAAGTTTAAATATACCATATAAAACTAGCACTTCTTACAAATAAAAAGCACTATGCTTCTTTAAATAATACGGTGGTGGTGAGACTTGAAAGCATGATACGATTTATTTTGCTCAAATTTAAGTTTAGTTTATTTACTTTTTTTTAGAAAGAAAATTAAATCATTAAGTCACTAAAGAACTTATACTTCTTATCTAGAACAGTATAAATTATCTTTAATATAATAAGACATTTCTATAGGATAGTTTTTCCTTCCACACATGTAAACCATAGGAGGTGTTAAAATTTCCACAAAGACCTCATGTATTCTGCTCAGTTTAGCAGTAGAGTGTTGTGTGTTTGAGATTTAGGCAAGTATAGAGGAATACTTGACAAAGCATAGTTCAACTGTCAGGACTAAATAAAAAACAGATATATCATATATATTATTATTTTTATTATATATATCATATACATTATAAATATGAGATAGATGTTTATAGAATATGATATACATTAGCATGTACATAATCATTTATATATTATATGGTATAGATTAGCATATATATTATATGATATAGATTTACATATTTTATAAGATAGATTTAAATAATAACATATATTTTTTTTCCTTTTCTTTTCTTTCCCTTTTTTTTCCTACTTATATTTCCCTGAACTAAACATGGCAATCTGAAAATTTTAAATGACCTCTAGAATAAGTAACTATATATACACATTAAAGTAAACGTTGGCAGGGCAATCACATTTTTAATGGTAAAATTTATCTTTTAGAGAAAATCCTGTTTTAAGGCTATAATGTTCATGTTGAATTGCAACATCTCAGAAGCAGTTTAGTAAAAATAGATAGATAGATAGATAGATAGATAAATAGATGATAGATAGATAGAATGATAGAGTGAACTCTGTTTTGAAACATAGCCCAGTTCATCAACCCATATCCATAAGGCATTTTAAGATTTTTATGATATATCATAGTTGGTTGCAAAGGCATAAAAGGCAGAGAAAGATATATAATCTTGTTTACAGTGAATCTTTGTGGAACATTGCCACTGGGTGCATCTTTATTTTTATAAAAATAAATATGCATTGAATATGGTTTATATCTTCAAATGATAGAATTGTAAGTTTTGAAGATGTTTCTAATTTAGCTTTCTTGAGATTGTTCTTCTGTATGAAGCCATCTCTGTTTGACTCTACTTATCATCACCTCTGCAAAGATATAATTGGAATATTATTGGCAGAAGTGGGGGGTTTGATTTTTCTGCTTCGGTTTTTGTATATATGTGTTTCTGTTTATTGTATTTTCTATTAATTTGTAGTTGTTTTGTATCTTGCTTATATTAGAAGTTCTGATAGAGATGTGAGAGCATCTATTCTTTTATAACTGCAAACATAAGTTAATAAAATGTTCTCATTAGATACATATTCTATAAATATGACTGACTGAACATAAATAGACAGTAATCTACTTCTTAACTTGTTCCAGCCTGCCTCATGGACACTGAGTTTTAATCATCAGTTCTATGAATCATTCTTTAGTATGCAACATCAAGTAGGGTTTTATAAAGATCAAACAGTGAAATTGTGTCACTAGTTACACGTTTATATTATACCTAAGAATCATAAGATGTAAATATTAACTAAAAAAATCAGATAGTCATTAATGATACTATTATGAAGAATAATTTGAAGTTTACATATACTTTTATAGTTTAAGCTTTGCATTTTTATTATCAGTCAATGGTAACTCTTATGAGCTAAAAATTACTTCAGTTTGAATAAATAATTCATTACAGATGGCAGTGGAAAAGAAAACATAGCCATAATTAGATTTTATATTAAAAGATACTTGTATATGCATCAATCAAAATTCACTTGCTAATACTATTGTGCCCACATAGCTATTTCTGAACTAACAACCTTTATCCTTAAGAAAACTATAACTTTTAAATTATATAATTATTAGATTATAAAGAAGAGATCTGTATTGTGTATGTTATTGCTCAGATCAGAGTCATTATTCTTGTCAAAGGTGGCTATCTGAATGCTAGTATTTAGAGTATTTACTTTTACTGAGGAAATCAGTGTTCTAGTGATTCAAGAAACCATTCTTATTGTCTAAGGAATAGACTATTATTGATTCACTTCAATTTTGGAAAGCTCACTTTACATGTACTTTATCTTACATATGGATTATTCTTCAGTCAGTCTCTCATATGTGTTAGAGAAATGAATGTGTTTTATTCCACTGGTTCTCTTTGTGTTAGTTAAAAAGAAAAGCACAATTATTTACTATAACATAAGTAATCATTCTGGAACCCCAGTTTGGCCTTTTGGGCTTTTAATAGTAAAGATGCTAATCTCAAAATTAGTCAATATCAGATTTTACCTAATCATATTTATTTGGTACTGAGTACACATGTGTATAGTAAATAAATTGTTTTATAGGCTCTAATGTGGCGAAACAAGTTGGGTCAACAATCATTAGCATTACTTATAAGTAGAAATGGGGAACAGATTCTGTCCACTCTGAAATTGTCTCCGCTACCCATTAAAAATTTCAAGACAATGATAAGAAAATCAAATTTCCCACAAAGATTTTGTCATTGGGCTTCTCATGTGGACATAGGAATCTGAAGAGCCTTTCTTTAGACTATTTCTAATTGCCCTCTAAGAAGCATTCTTTTGCCACAGGCATATTGCTGGTTTCTTCAAAGTATATTGTTAACATCCTTATGTAAGAATTTGATCTCCCTTTTAGGAGTCACTATATGGGAACTGATGACCTTTGGAGGAAAACCCTATGATGGAATTCCAACCAGAGAAATCCCCGATTTGTTAGAGAAAGGAGAACGTTTGCCCCAGCCTCCCATCTGCACTATTGATGTTTATATGGTCATGGTCAAATGTAAGATTGCAAAATTATGTTATCATCCTCATCATCATTCTTAGTAATTAATCAACCTGCACAATTTTTCTGTATAATAAAAAATATAAAAGTTTACAGATAATTGTGAAAAGGAGCATGTAAACCCGTGTTTGTTGTGATTCTTGTTAATATGAAGCAATATCATGCTTTCATGCTATGAAGTCAACATTGTATGATTCTTACACTTCTTATTTATTTCACTTTGATTCTTATCATTTCCGTGGCAATGAAACTGTTTCTCATAAAGAGATGTAATTAATCACAATAATGTTAATACGCTTTAAAGGAAAAAAGCAGACTAGATCAATGATCTACACAAAAAGAAAAAAGCTTGAAACTAATAGTTTAAAAAAATGAATTAAATGGAAATAGATTTACCAGTTTCAGTCAACAGAAAATTAGCAAGGCAAAATGGGAAGTGGAAAGACATGAATCTACATTGAACTACAAAGATTATGAATGTTTACTTTCTTTCAATTTGATCATTTGTTTACATCTAACTCTCTTACTTTTCTTTCTCCCTTCTATGCCCCAGACACATATGTGTTATAAATGTATTTTGGAAGCCTAGACTCTTAATTTAAATAGAATTAGGGAAGTCTCTGGAGTTTCTGACTTAATTTAAATGAGATTAGCATTCAGCAATCTTTCTTGTGTAATGAGAGGTTTTCCCCTTTTGATTTACACAGGGTTAGCAAAGAAACAAACTGGTGAAAGGTGAATAAGCATCCTATTAATAAGAGACTTTGGACAGGTCTACTCAGATTTATACTCATGACATGTGTGATACATTCTGGCAGTGAGGGAAGAAACAAAAAATGTGCTTTTCACTTCAGGCCAGCATGCCCTTTTCTCTAAGTGTAGTTCTGTTTACTCAATATTTAGTTAGAAAGAAACTGATACCTCACTGAGAATTTAACCTTTTCTGGTTCCAATAGAGTTCCAGAAACATTGATTTTCTCATTAACATCTTGGTATCAACAGCATTTTTTTTTTAGTGGTTACATATGAAATATAGAGCATTTGAGCTTTGTTAGGAGAGAAAAAAATCAAATAATTTTAATGATACATAACATGACACCCAAACACTTCCCATAACAAGAATAAAAATTGAACTTGCAGAAAAGAGGAAACAAGTTTTATAGCTTTATTGGGTCAAACATTTTTCGGTAGTCAGCTATGGAAGAAAGTTTAAAAACATACATGTATTACATAATTCGATCCCATAACTAGCATGAGTTGATTTATATACTTCATTTAGATACTCTGATGAATAATAAAAAATCAGGAAAACATCTTGCCTAATAGCAACTTTTACCTCGCTTTTAGGAGTTTTAATATCTAAAAAAAGGGTCATTTGGCAATAAAATCAAGGAAAGCTTGGTGCCTTTATTCTTGTCATTTCAACAGTTAAACAGAGCCTGGGGAGTTAAGGCTCTTAATACATAACCTGATAAATTGCTGATAGTATTTTATGCTGGAAAGCCTAGTACTAAGATAAGCTAATGACTATTTCTGAACAAACATTACCAATCACTTTGCATTAATTTTTTTCCCACCGGGAAAAAAGTAGCATAAGAAAGTTGCTTTCAATTCCTTTTTTCACCTTTTTGCCAGTATACAGCATTGCAATGAAAGTTTTTATTCCATGTCACTCCTGATATAAAATGATAAATTATATTCCAATCACCTTTTCTATACCCATCAAAGAAAAATATTTTTTTTATTTTTAAATTCTCTTCACACCTACGGAAAAAAGATCTGAGATTCTGTAAATTCCCATGGTTAGCCTAGGTTATATTTTCTATGATGAAAAATTAATTTTAAATTATATCAACAAAATAAAAAGCTTGTGTTGTTCTATAATATGTTACATTTAGTTATGAATGTCAGCTAACTGATTGAGATAGAATCTCACCTATTGGATCGTTTCTTTCATTAGCTTTCTTTGTCAGATCATTTTTATTTAAATGATATGTTTCAAACGTAGTCTTTATTTTCATAAAATTATGGATATAGTGACTCCTTTATTGCATGTGAATTTCTAGGTTGGATGATTGATGCTGACAGTAGACCTAAATTTAAGGAACTGGCTGCTGAATTTTCGAGGATGGCTCGAGACCCTCAAAGATACCTAGTTATTCAGGTTTGTACATTTGACTTAGATTTTTGAGAATATCCCAATGACAAACCCACTACAAAACAGTAGTAATATCTGGACTTTGGAACTATGGATATCATCATTCACAAATTAATTAATTAGCTAAGCAAAATACCATGTGAAATGACTTTTACTTGATGTCAGAACCACTTCTAAGCATCTTCCCTTAGTACTCAAGTGCCTCTACTGTTGAACTGCCAGATAATTATGATTATTCATGTACATAAAAAGGCCTTTATCCTCAGACAAGCCTTGTAGTACTCTGCTAGTCATGTTCATTGTTATAATCGTCTCTTCTTGGAATAAAAGGAAGATGGATTTTTGTTTTAATCGTGTCCATGTTTGAAGGCAGTGAACTAAAAGTTTCAATAAATTGACATTTAATTTCCTAGAAAAATATTTTAAAATATGTATTTTTTCTTTTGGGAGGTATGCAATATTCAAGTAATAACTCAGGTTCAGATGAATTAATGTACAAAAATAATAGACCAAAAGAACGTTTTATATGTAACACTAGAAAAAATGGATTTAATAATTTAAAAGTTGTGATATATTTCTTTATGATTATTTTACCTAAACCATAAACAAGTGGACCTTGGATAACACTGAGTTAAGATTCCTCAATAAAACAAGGTAGTGTTTATCTTCATGTCAGTAGTCTGACATGAAGATAAAAGTCAGATTTTAGCAGATAATGATTTCTAGCTAACTTTTTCCCTAATTAATTTTTAAAAGTTTACAAAAATATCACAAAACAAATTTTAAAATTCTACTTAAGAAATAGATGAGGTAGGAGTGTAACTATTGTTTTGGTGTTTCTCCCACCCCCTTTATGTTATTTGCCACCAGTGCTGTGATTTTGAATGTTATCACTTTAACAATATTATGCTATAGAGCAAACCATGGATTCAATGTATCATGATAGCTCTACACTATCAAACCAACCAAGTATAATAAAGATTGATAAGTCAATTGCTCTTTCTTTATTATATACTCTTAAAGTCACAGCTCAAACGCCATCTTGACAATGAAACCCACCATTATTCTCAGATCTGAAATGGTTTATGCCTCTCTCAAAATAGCCATAGCATTCTGCTTTATTTATCTCTAATGGCATTTATCACATTCTTCTTGTATTAAATGTTTTTATCTTACCGTGTCATATCTAAGTATGTTATAGGCTTCTATATGGCTGGTATTTATGCTAAATAATTATTTTGTTTAATGAGTGCATGAATTTGCAACCATTTTGATATTACATAAATTTGCTACAAAGTTCACATATTTAAAATGAAGGAAAGAATCATTTCTGTGTGTATATCTGATGGGAAATTTTTTAGGGTGATGATCGTATGAAGCTTCCCAGTCCAAACGACAGCAAGTTCTTTCAGAATCTCTTGGATGAAGAGGATTTAGAAGATATGATGGATGCTGAGGAATATCTGGTCCCTCAGGCTTTCAACATCCCACCTCCCATCTATACTTCCAGAACAAGAATCGACTCAAATAGGGTAAGAAGTAATTATATACCACCTCTCATGTTATTTCTGAGAAACAAAGTCATGGAAATACAGTGTAAGTACTAAAATTACCAAATAAATTATGTAGCTCAAAAAAGTGTGATTCCTAAATTAAAAGCAAGTTATACCAACAAAAGATATGCCAAGCTTGCCATATATAGTTAATTTTGGAAGGTAAGCATGGGCAATACAACATGCACTCTGAAATATCTTCAAGATTTCAAAAGGAGAAACTTTTCTTCATCTTAAGTCAGTTAAAAAAAAAACCTTAATTTTTGAAAATCTACAACCAATTCAAACTCATAAATCTGTATGTGTTTGTATATAAATGAAAATTCTTCCCAAGATAGGCTCTCTACTTTTTTTCTCAATAAAATGATATGACTTATTAGTCAAGAGACAATACAAGTACAACTCGTTATTACTCATTTAGGAGACATTAAATATCTTCTGTCGAGTTGAAGTAGAAACAGACAGTGTGCAATCCTTTGGACTAAATCAATCATATTGGGAGGGCTTCTGAATCATTTCTAAGATGTAGATTTAACTTTTGAAAGCAGCTTCTGAAAGGAGTTTCCATTTCATTTTAAATATTAAGCCCACTCTATATGAATACCATTCTTTCTCTGAAAACTGTCAATCCATGTATTCATTCACTTGTTTATTTTTGAAAATTCATTCTTCATTCAACATTTATTTATTTATTTACTTTTTGATAGAGTCAGCATTTATTAAGTGCCTAACATATTCCAGGCCTTTCTTTTTTTTTTTAAATAGATCCTTATTGGAATATAATTGCTTCACAATACCGTGTTAGTATCTGTTGTACAACAAAGTGAATCAGCCATATGCATACATATATCCACATATCCCCTCCCTCTTGAGCCTCCCTCCCACCCTCCCTATCAAACATCTCTAGGTCATCGCAGAGCACCAAGCTGATCTCCCTGTGCTATGGGGCTGCTTCCCACTAGGTAACTATTTTATATTCGGTTAGTGTATATGTGTTGATACTACTCTCACTTTGCCCTAGCTTTGCCCTCCCCTACCACATCCTCAAGTCCACACTCTATGTCTATGTCTTTACTTCTGCCCTGCAACTAGGTTCATCAGTACCACTTTTTTTTTCTTTTTTTCTTTTTAGATTCCATATATATGTGTTAGCGTATGGTATTTGTTTTTCTCTTTCTGACTTACTTCACTCTGTATGACAGACTCTATGTCCATCCCCCTCACCACAAATAACTCAATTTCATTTCTTTTTTATGGCTGAGTAATATTCCATTGTATATATGTGCCACATCTTCTTTATCCATTCATCTGTCGATGGACACTTAGGCTGCTTCCATGTCCTGGCTAATGTAAATAGTGCTTCAGTGAACACTGGGGTGCATGTCTCTTTTTGAATTATGGTTTTCTCAGGCTATATGCCCAGTAGTGGGATTGCTGGGTCATATAGTAGTTCTATTTTTAGTTTTTTAAGGAACCTCCATACTGTTCTCCATAGTGGTTGTATCAATTTACATTCCCACCAACAGTGCAGGAGGGTTCCTTTTTCACCACACCTTTTCCAGCTTTTATTGTTTCTAGATTTTTTGGTAATGGCCATTCTGACCAGTGTGAGGTGATACCTCATTGTAGTTTTGATTTGCATTTCTCTAATGACTAGTGATGTTGAGCATCTTTTCATGTGCCTCTTGGCCATGTATATGTCTTCTTTGGTGAAATGTCTATTTAGGTCTTCTGCCCATTTTTTAATTGAATTGTTTGTTTTTTTAATATTGAGCTTCATGAGCTGTTTGTATATTTTGGAGATTAATCCTTTGTCCGTTGTTTCATTTGTAACAATAAGTTGTTTCACTTATTCCCAGCCTCTTCAATAAGTGGTGCTGGGGAAACTGGACAGGTACGTGTAAAAGAATGAAATTAGAGCACTACCTAACACCATACACAAAAATAACCTCCAAATGGATTAAAGACCTAAATGTAAGACCAGACACTATAAAACTCTTAGAGGAAAACATAGGAAAAATACTCTTTTACATAAACCCCAGCAAGATCTTTTTTGACCCACCTCCTAGAATAATGAAAATAAAAACAAAAGTAAACAAATGAGACCTAATTAAACTTAAAACCTTTTGCACAGCAAAGGAAACCATAAACATTCAACATGTATTGAGTACCTCTGCATGTAAGCCATTATTAGACATGAGAGTCAAATATTTTGACATAACTACTACTTTCAAGACATACCAAGTTTAACAAAAGACTCACGCAGATACAAAGACAGAGTGTAGCATGATAGTGTTATAATCAAGTATTCATTAGCCATTATGGAGCATAGAGAAGCCTGTAATCAATTTCTTCAATTGAAAAGACATAAACGTGATGCTTAATTTTTTCTAGAAAGCAATTCTTTTCTCTTGGTCTCCTCCTCCCTCTAAGAACATTGTCGTAGCTCATGGAACAAACAGCATCCTCTTTGTCTTGACCATCGGCATAAGAAAACTTTCAATTTGCTGCTCATTCTCTAAAACAAAGTAATTTGCTTTGTTTCAAACTGACAGCAATGATAAACCTAGTGTTTACTATGTGTCAACACATATATATTGTCTCTTAATACTTACAAAAATCCCATGAGGTTCTATTATCATTATTTGTCACAAAGTTAAGTGACTTGAATGGCCAAAGGTGACTCACACGGCCAATGGAAGAGCCAGGTCAGTCTGCCTGTACTACACATACTATTGCTTCACAGTGATTAGAAAATGTTATTTTCAATATGGTTGATTTTTGGCATCAACCTCAACCTCTGAGATACATGTTGTTTGGGAAACTCCCTAGGTTTTTTCTTGTAAAATGCATCTCCCAACCTGCCCTATACTTCTTGCCCACCTTCCCCCATTTAGAAGGTCTGGTATAGAAAGAGGCAAAGATAGAGACCTCAAGTAATTTCTCATTCATATGAAAAATTTGTCTTGTAGCTCAGTGGAGAGGAGATAGGGAGATAGAACTAAAAATTTTAAAAATTATATCAACTGATAGATATTGAACATCAATGTTTTTTTTCTTTTTTTTTTTTTTTTTTTGTGGTACGCGGGCCTCTCACTGTTGTGGCCTCTCCCGTTGCGGAGCACAGGCTCCGGACACGCAGGCTCAGCGGCCATGGCTCACGGACCCAGCCGCTCCGCGACATGTGGGATCTTCCCGGACCGGGGCACAAACCCATGTCCCCTGCATTGGCAGGCGGACTCTCAACCACTGCGCCACCAGGGAAGCCCCAGTGTTTAGTTTATGGCAAGGAAAAACACCTTTAAGGTGTGTAAAAGAGGCACCATTTTCTTCTCTGTACACTTAGGAAAATGGTCAAATCATGACTTTGATATTTATAATTTTATGTGACAAATTCATTACCTTTATTAAAACAGGGAAATTTCAAGAAAATAGTTTCCTTCCTTAACATGAAATGTTATAAAGGCCAAGGGCTTGAATCTTTTCCTTTTTATAAGGATTCTCAAATTCTAGCTTTTCTGTTCATCTTAATTTATGCTCAGTGCAAGGAATTCATAGTAAAAGTTTGAGTTAACTGAAGGGAATTAGTAAGAAAGTAGAAACCTCATGAGGAATTATTTGGCCTTTAGTCATCATTTCTTATTCCAGTTATTATTTAAACAATGTTATCTGTATATTTCCTTTTACTTTTTCAGGTCTTTGTTAAAGGAATTTTTCTTAAATATCATTTTATTTTCAGGCATTAAAAAGCCTTATTATTCATCTATATTTCTCTATTTTTTCTGTCTGGCTTTATGTAACTTGTATGGTAATTTCTAATATGTGCAAATGCTGTTTTCCCCTCTTCTTTCCTATAAAGCTAATTTGTATTATTTTATAGTTAGAAAATGTTACTTCAATTTTAGGTTCTGTGACCAACTTATGTGGTAAGGGAACGTTTTAAAGTGAATTTTAATCAAAGGAGTTTTGAGCATGTTTGTTGGACTTTGAAACCAAAAAGTAATTCAGTTTTTATATATAGACTCCCCTGCTCACTAGCTGAAAGTCTTAAAGTTCTGAATATCTTTACAACTTTGCTTCTTTATTTGTAAAATAAACACAATAGTACATATATGATTGTTAGGCAATTAACTTAAAAAATTGCAGAGTATCTGAAATGCTAGGCAAATCAATACTTATTCCGTTCTTTTAGAATCACCCCTAAAGTGATTATAAATAACCTTAAAGCAGTGAGTCAACTAAAAATACAATGTGGACTTTTATCCAGCAAGTTGCCAGATACAAAAGCAAGTAATGCTAGAAAACATTCATCTAATTTATATCTATTGTTGTTATTATTGTTAGATATCCTTTTAATATTATCTCAAAAACTTTACCAAAATAATATACCAAAAGCACTTACTGTAACATGATGTAGAATAGGAAAATGTGAGAAGCTATCTAAACTTCTGCAAACTTCAGTTCTCTGTATCTGTAAAATGGGGACAAAAAAATCCTCACAGAATATTTTGATGGTTGGCTTTCTAATATATCTAAGCGTGTTGTCCATTGATGGATGTACAGTGGGTGTTTGATCGTGTTGAAATAAATAAGACCATCTATTTATTCAGAGCTATTTATTCAGAGCTTACTATAACAAGGGAGTCAACCACTGTCACTTGTGTTTTGGGAGAGACTCAAGGGCAGATGGAGGAATGGGAAACATTTATAGTGGAGAAAAAGGAAGGCTTCAGGAATGGCCTGATTGGAGGCTATTGGCATAGGGAATCTAAAAGAGGGCTAACTAGAAGCAGAGCATCCTATGAGTTAGGTGTACATATTTGGCTTTCTCTGGTTGGCTCTAAGTTGAAAGTGGTGACAAAAATTAGGGAAGCTGCTAGTTATTAATCAAATCCTGGTCATTTAGGGCCAATTGTTAACAGAAGTTATTGTTTAGCTTCCTGGATTGCTACTAAAGGTAACAATCAGGCTTCCTGCAA